ACAGGGGTGGGAATGCTGCAGCCTTAAGTGAGCCATGGTAGACCGCTGACACAGCAGGTCTACTGTTTCCTTTGTTTTTTCATGTGTATGGTGTGTATTTTGATTCTAGTTGTACTAATTGGAGACTCTGGAGTGGGGAAGAGTAATCTGCTGTCCCGTTTCACAAGAAATGAGTTCAACTTGGAGAGCAAGAGCACCATCGGGGTGGAGTTTGCAACCCGCAGCATTCAGGTGGACGGCAAGACGATAAAAGCTCAAATCTGGGACACAGCTGGGCAGGAGCGCTACAGAGCCATCACCTCAGCGTGAGTTTGTTTTGTCGTATGCATTACTTAAGGTGTTACGTTAGTAATGGTTATTTATAGGGTAATGTTCACACACTTAGACATGTATAATGAGATGTGTCTTTGCTAATAATTGTGGCTGAGTAGTACGTGTTTGAACCCCTTAGGTTGCTAGACCTGGTACCAGTTTTAAATAAATTAATTGTCCAAATTCCTTTTGTTATCAGGAGGAATTAATTACCCAAGAGGAACCATTTTGTAACAGCTGTTTATGTAGTAAAACTATTGTTTTCAGCAACAGCAGCAAGCCATTGCTCCATTGGATCATTGGGTCCTGTTCTTTTTTTTTTTTTTCTTTGTATTGTTTGTGTGTCCTCCTTATTTCTGTGGGGATGGAACCTTAGTGTCTTTATATGAAACTGTTATTAGTCACCAATTATAATCAAAACAAGTGTAAAAGAAAATACATTTGGCTTGTAATTTCTATTTATGGTTTAAACTAATATTAAACCATGTTAATGTTAAAAAGTTAGTTGATAATGATGGCTTTATGGCCTCTGTCTTCATCAGGTATTATCGGGGCGCAGTCGGGGCTCTCCTAGTTTATGATATTGCGAAACACCTGACGTACGAGAATGTGGACCGCTGGTTGAAGGAGCTGAGGGACCACGCTGACAACAACATCGTCATCATGCTGGTTGGAAACAAGAGCGACCTTCGACATCTCAGGGCCGTGCCCACTGATGAGGCCCGAGCATTTGCAGGTGGATTTTTGAGTGTTCTTTGTTTTGCTTTGGAGCAGTCAAAGTAGCTCCTTAACATTCAGTTCAGTTGCTGTAAAATAAAAATCCTTTTTCTTTCTTTTTTTTTAACCTTAGAAAAGAACACTCTTTCATTTATTGAAACTTCAGCCTTGGACTCCACTAACGTAGAAGAAGCATTCAAGAGCATTCTCACAGGTAAAAGATAAAAAGTGTGAACTCAACTCAATAATCATCCAGGTACTCTACTGTTAGACCTCCTCTTATGCCATTGTTTTCTTTCCTAGAAATCTACCGTATCGTATCTCAGAAGCAAATATCAGACAGATCTGCACACGAAGATTCTCCAGGCAACAATGTAGTAGACATAAGTGTCCCCCCAACCATGGATGGGCAGAGGGGCAACAAACTCCCCTGCTGCCAAAGCCTGTGACCCTCCTTTTTTCTATTTCTGGTTGACTTTGTGTCAGAGTTTTCTCTTTTCCCTTCTACTGTCAGATGCTGTCATCTTACCCTCATGGGTTCAGAAGTGTTTGACACAGAGACTCTTAGATTTGACATTCCTTTATGCTGTTTTCTTCTTTGTTCGTCTGAGTCCCGTGTCAAAACAACTTGTCTAAAATACGAAAACTGAGAAGAAAGACAATTGTTAAGCTGTTAACTACAATCTCTTTTTAATTCACTAGATGATGATCCTATTGACCCGCTCCTGCTGAAGGAGTGGTGAGGGATCGGTAGGCCTGTTTATGAGTGCTCAGAGGTGTTTTTACTCGGTTCCTTTTCTCAGCCTAATCTGCTATAGTGGAGTCTCATTTTCATGTCGGGCTGACCTGATTCTGCCTGTCTTGCAATGTGGTTGCAGAAGAGGAGATGAGAGGAAGGTTCGTTTGGAGTGCTGATGTGTGGTCTGTCAAGAGTTTCTGGTTGCCTCTTTAATTTTTATTTTCCTCTTTTGCGCTGTGTGCCCACTCTGGCATGAAATTAGCATGAGCTTGGAACCAGACTGGCTATGAATGACTGACTCATTATAGGCAAGCATGAAACACATGACACATTTTTGTTTGTTTGTGTGTGTGTGTGAGTGAATTTTAGTTTTGTACACAAACATACCAAAGGAAACAATCAGAATCAGTTTTGGGGAAGCTTATTTCACCGTGTTCAAGGATGTTACGATTGCAGGTGATTGCTAAAAGGTCCAGGCTATTTGCAACAAATGTGTAACGGTCCACAGGAGATGCATTGTTATAAGTTGTGGTGCATGATGTCAAACTTTAATTTCAGAATTAGATTGGGGGTTTTTTGCACTAGAGTCCAGTTATTTCAGTGGAACCTTTTATTTCAAAATGGCATAAAATTTTCATCAGGTAGCATTTTGCTACCTGTAAGGAAAACAATGCTGACAGAAAAGGAAAAATGAAGTTGAAATTGTAACATTTCTGTACCAAATGAGCCATTGCTGTCATTAATCCTAACTGTTGAACAGGAATTGATAAAAGTTTGTTAACTCAGAACATTATCCTTGGAAAACCAATAAATAAATACTCCCCACATACTGCTTTCACTTCAGCAATATTAATGGGTTTTAGTTGAAAAAAATGGAAGTGAAAATCAGAAATGCAAATTTTGTTTTCATACTTGGGTGGAAGAAAATATTTCCACCCATCTGGTTGAGGTGCTGTCATGCATTAGGTGTTCATAAGAAAGCATCTCATACATTTAAATGTGAATTTAATCTGAGCAGATATAATCTTTTTTCCTACTTTTGCATTACACCAGAAAATACTGAATCATAACTAAAATCTTTCCATATGACCATACAGCAGACAGTTATTTTGGCATCCCTTACTCAGTTTACTCATATCTTAAGGTGGGTTGTTTTAATAATTGACAGATGGGTTTCTTAGGCATTTGGGATACAAACCTACTTTTTTAGGTTGTATTCAAAATTATTAGAAATGTATAAATAAGGTTAAAGCGATAAAATTAGGATAGTTTACTACATGTAACATCTCAGTGCACATTCAGGGCAGGCTTTTCTGTCTACAAAGCACATTTAAAACAAGAAGTGCCAATTCTGAGAGTACACTACTATGAGAAAGCAGGTGGCCTTGACGACAAGGTTTGTGAGCATTATAACTCAAGAGCGAGATGACAAAGTTTTCAAATTCATCCTATGAGTACATCTGATAAAAATCTCGGACAAATTGGAATCTCAATGACCTTGACCTCAAGTACATAGGTCAACTTTTTGAAAAGCACCTAGGGTTTTCAGGTGCATCTGAGGGTGTTGCTGGTGTAAAAGAAGGTTTCAGGTTTTTCTTCAGTAGCTGAAAAGCTGCTCTGTTG